ATGGGCACTTAGCAGCGCTGAAAAACGAGTATCTGCAATCCTCTGTAGTACACCCCTCCCTGTGCCTAACTAGCTAATGAACTATCAGCCATCTATCTTCGTTCCACCCAGGGCCACTTGTCCTTCCCTGCAGACAGAAGCGACTTCTTGGCAGGTCCTGCTTTAGGGAATCCAAACCTCCTGGCTCTAAAGTAAAGAGCTGCATTCTTCTGAAAGTCATTTTGAGGTGAAAAACTGATTTAGTGTTGATGCTTCTGTTATTGTACACGACACTATCCTTATTTGTGGATGGTAAACTAACCCCAATGTGTAGCTAGGACAGACAAAAAGACTAAATATTACGCCTGTCAGAACAAGATGCTTTGTTGAGCCATTACTGAGGTTAATTTCATCATGAATAACAACTGAAGACTGGCAGAAACACTTCATGGTGCAAAACCAAACTATGTCTAATATCTCAAAAAGTCTGTCAACATGATACTACACTATATTTTCAGAATAAGAATTCTTTATTTTTTGATCATTACACTTGCCCTTGAAAATACAAGTGTTAATAGAAGGAAAAAAGAAGTAAGACTGAAATTAGTATAAATTAGAAATTACAAAAGTTAGTACGAAGTGCAGAATTAAAGAAATAAAGCTAATCACACAAGTGCACTATTTAAAGAAAAAAACAACCAGTAGGACGTCATGTATATCATACCAGTTTGCAGCATTACACTGTAGGAAATCACGGAGTATTGTATAATATAACAGAGTGTTGCACAGTTTCACAGTTCGCTTAATGAACAATGTATCATTGGTATAACACTCTGAGATTATTTAAGTTTTGAGCAGTTTACAGTCAGATTGTACAGTTGAATGTAATTATATAGTGGAAAATCTTACAGTTACTACATGAGAAATAAGTCCAGGGACAGTCAGAGTGTACGGCACTCAGACGCTCTGTAGTACACTGAATGTGCTCCTGTGTTTAACCAGCACCTCATGGAGTGGGTGGTGGATGCTCTCCAAGATTACATATAACTTTGACAGCATCCTCCTCTCTGTCACCAATATCAGAGAGTCCAGCTCTACTCCCACAATGTCACCAGCCTTGTGGATTAGTTTGTTGAGTCTGATGGCATCTGCTACCCTCAACCTGCTGCCTTACACACAACAGTAAACAAGATCGCACTGGCCACCACAGACTCATAGAACTTCCCCAGCGTTATCTCACATTCAAGGACCTGAGCCTCCTGAGGAAGTAGAGACAAAGAAAGAAAAGGAAGAGATTTCTGATCCCCAAAGGGAAATTCAATTGTCTGTAGTCTCATGTGTCATCTATTTACAGAAGAATGATTAAGTGTGATGGCTGTGGTCACAAAAGATCTTCTGAATCTTTCTGTCCTACGGGAAAGAGGGAGAAGCCGTCTACCACCATTGGCCATTTGGTCCGTCACAGTGTTATGAAGTGGATGATCCATGTTCCTTAGGATTGCCTCCTCCTTCCTCAGTGTACAACTCTCCACCACATCCTCCAATGAGTCCAACTTGATTCCAACCACAGAGCCAGCCTTTTTCATGAGTTTTTTCAGATTTCTTGCATCTTTGTGACCATAGAACCGATCAGCGTACAAGTGTGAGACAGCTCAAGTACATCCTAACACCTAAAGATGTGCTTTTTTCAAGGTTTGAGTAGTATCTGTTATAAGGGGAATGCATCATTCACCATATCCCTTGCTTTAGAAGGATACAGTTTGGTCAGATATAACAACACTGGATTTTGGCTCTTTCTTACAGTCATTCCAAACCTTAATTGGAATCAGAGTTGCACTGGCTGTTCTTTATCCATGTTTGTTCTTACATCTGACAGCTCAAAGTGCAGTAAGTAATCATTATTTGTGGCACTGTATATGCAAGAAAACAGCAGCATACTACCAGGAAGGCCTAACTTAGAGTAGAAAATACATAGGAGAAAACATGAAGGTCATGGGCATATTATTTACCACAGACATATTTTTTAAAATATATTTTTATTTAACCAGGAGAAAGCCTCACTGAGATCAAAAATCTCTTTTCAAGAGTATCCTGGCCAAGACAGCAGAAGTGAACAGAGTTTCAACATAAATAAAAACAGCCAGACTCATACAACATAACACAATATATGCAGTCCATAACCTACACAGAAGGATTTAAAGAGCAGCTATTTATCAGAATCATATCATATGAGATCATATGATAAATAAGAGGAGACACTCCACATGACTTAAATGACCATATACACAAAAATTTTCAATAAGCAGTAAAATGTGATCTCTGTTGCATATTAAAAACACAAAAGAAATCATCACTTTCTGGAGCACAAACCAATTTCAAAGCATAAATTTTGACTTTGTGTGCTGACTCACGTGTCATTACGACCGTCCCAATGAGGCATATTTTACAACTGATCAAGCATGCACAACACCAGGGCTCTAAAACATACATTCAAGCATCATGCAAACAATATTTTATATGGGTGCTTTTAAGATAAGAACAACTTCATTCATCCCCGAGGGCAAAATTAGATTGTTTGGGTTCTTGTGTCTTAAATTTTATATCATCTATTATTTACAGTCAGGTTGTAGAGTCGGACTGCTGTAGGTACAAAAGATCTTTAAATCTTTCAGTCCTGCATCGAAGTGAGAGACGCAGTCCGCCACCATTGGCCCTTTGGTCCTTCACGGTGTTATGAAGTGAATGATCCATGTTCTTTAGAATAGCCTCCACCTTCCTCAGTGTGCATCTCTCCACCACATCCTCCACTGAGCCAGCTTTTTTTTTTTTTAAAGTTTGTTCAGATGTTACGCATCCTTGTGTTTTATACTGCCTCCCCAGCAGACTGCAGCGTAGAACAGAACACTTTCCACCACAGACTGATAAAACATCTGCAGCATCTTACTGCAGATGTCTATTGATCGTAGTCTTCTCAGGCAAAAGAGGCTCTGCCCCTTTCTGTAGATGACGTCTATGTTCTTAGACCAATCCAACTTATTATCTAGGTGTACACTTAAATATTTATATGATGGCACTCCTTCAATGTCCATGCCACAGGTGTTCACTGGCTGAAGAGGGGGTTTGGATCCACAGAAGTCTATGATCATTTCCTTTGTCTTTGAGGTGATGAGCAGGAGACAGTTTTTGTGACTCCAGTCACTGAAGGCTCTTATCAGATATCAGATCCCTGTCTATGCCTTCTCGTCCAATTCTGATGGATGCCATGATAGAAGTGTCATCTGAGTACTTCTGGATGTGACAGGACTTGGTGCAGTATTTGAAGTCTGATACAATGTGAACAGGAATGAAGCCAGGACTGTCCCTTGTGGAGCCCCTGCACTGCTCATTAATGTCCTAGAAACACAGTTCCCAGGCCTGACAAACTGTGGCCTTCCTGTCAGGTAATCTGTGATCCAAGAAACAAAGAAAGGATCCACTCCCATCTCTGTCAGCTTGTCTTTGAGTGCGGTGGGTTGGATGGTGCTGAATGCACTTGAAAAGTCAAAGACCAAGATCCTCAGAGTTACACATAATTAAGCCTCTGGGTAACCATTTTGCACAGCGCATGCAAGATAAATACATCAGACATCACAAAGAATGAATAAATGGAGGTAGAGCAATTTTCAGAGATAAGCTGTTTTAGGAGGCAGAAGGATATGCTCAAAGGGATATTCCAGCGTAAAATTAATTTAGGGTCAAACACACCACAACACCAAGTTAGACACCCCTTGAGAGATAATTGTTGCCGACCGCTTGCGTCTCTTGTTATACCAACTTTAGTAATGACTGCACGTTAGCAATACACAGCGGTCTGAGGAGCCATAAACAAACCTCAACAAAAATGCCACTCTATAGCCACAAATAATGCTCAGCACCTGACTTCATCAACAGTACATATAGGGTCCCAGCCATAGTACTAGCCACCAAACATCTTTTTTGCCTAATTTCTTTAGCAAAGAGACTAAACACAACTTACCAACTCTCTTCCAGCAGCCGCTTGTTTGTAGTGAGACCTCGGACCAGTCCATTACTGACTACAGGAAGGGTGACACAGCTCAAGAAAAAACATTTATGATCATTACTTCATCATTTCCTTGAAGTAATGATCATCTTAATCATTTTGCACTGTGGCCGCGGTAGTTCTTCTGCCTTAGTGTTTCAGTCTGATTGCATTTCCAGGAAGAAATGATCGTAAATGTTCTTCCTTAAGCTGCGTCACCTCGCAGTAGTCCATAATGGGATTGCCCTGAGGTCTCCGTACAAACAATCAGCTGCTGGAAGAGAGTAGGTGAGTTGTGTTTAATCTCTTTGTCAAAAAATTAGGCAAAGCTAAAAAGATGTTTGATGGCTAGTGCTGTGGCTGGGACCCTATATGTACTGTTGATAAAGTTAGGTGCTGTTCTGAGCATTATTTGTGGCTATAGAGTGGCGTTTTGGTTGAGGTTTGTTTATGGCTCCTCAGACCGCTGTGTATTGCTATCGTGCGGTCGTTACTTAAGTTGGTATAACTAGAGGATCAAGCGGTCAGCAACATTCATCTCTCGAGGGGGTGTCAAACTCGGTGTTATGATGTGTTTGACCCTAAATTAATTTTACGCCGGAATATCCCTTGAACAGTGTATGTCTAGCAATATAGGCTACTAACAAATACAAACTTGTCGATCTCAAAGTGTTAAACTTTGTAGAGCATAGGAAAAAGGATCAAATAATATCGTTTTTGTTTCTTTTTGCATGAGACATACCTACCTACAGCACTGGATATACAGTATACCACTCTGTTGTAGGCTTTCTAGTTGTAGGACGGTACTTTTTACGGAACATACCATGTTAACTCCTCAAAATAAAACAATTACAGTGTGCAGTTTCATGTTTTTAATTTGTATTTCAGGATTTAAAACATTAAAATGATAACAAATATATTTTTGGTCGCTTTCAGGGCATAAAAAAACACTAATATGACTTTTCGGCTGTCCAGTAAAGTCACTCACCTCCCCCCTCTCTCCGGCAGTGGTTCGCTCCGCACTCTCCAGCTGATCGGCCCAGGATTCCCCGGTGGCTCCGTCCGTCGTTTGGCTTTGACGGCTCGTCTCGACGTCGATTTAAACTGTTTTAATTCCACGGAGTCAGGGGCCGCTCGTGTCGGCAAAACGCTCCCACTATCGTGAAACTGTCACGGATAATCTTGCCAGGGTATTGACTCTGTACTTGTCAAAGCCAGGGGATCTTAACGCAAATACGAGGCCCACAGTCCATCCCCGGATTCACCTGCTACACGGAGAGCTTCACACGGGAGATACCGACATGGGGGACACGGGGAGCGAGGGCAGCAAGCCCCCGAGTAACGTGAACGTGATACCCCCGCGCTGCCCCTGTGGCTTCTGGGGGTAAGACGAAAGTTTACTCCTTGAATTGCTTTCTTTCTTTCTTTCTTTCTTTCTCTGATAACAGCTAGCTGAGTCGCTAGCCACTAGCATTAGCAGCTCAAACAGGGATGAGCTGCTTTTCTTGTTATTACCCCCTCCCCATTGTTTTGTAGCACTAGCTGCTCGCTAACACCAGCTGGCCTCGGCAACCTTCACATGTACAGGTACTGAGCTGGCTAAGGGTGCGGGATAAGCCTCCCAGGTATTGACACAGGTGTGACAACGTTGACTAAATGGCTAATTTCAAAGTATTGAGTGAAAATATAGAGCACTTTGATGTTAAAACTCTAGATAGTGGTGTTTTTACATGATCTCGACTTGGTAGAAACTAGCATTGGTTAGTTTTTATCGATTACATCGATGTATGTTTATTTTTGAAAACCTAATGGGTGTTGTTCATGTTGGCTACAGGGGTGTTTTTATATTTAAATACACTCTTTATTTTTCGTCCAACAAATTATTATACTATTATTTCATTGTCAAGTGTTTTTAATCTCATGCCTAATACCTCTTTTGCTGTCAGGAGTGTTTGGAGACAATGCGTAAATTTAGCCGAGCACAAGGAAGTCAAGATGAAGCATACATATTAGGAGCTTTTATGACTATCAGTGGCTTGCTCTCATGGTCTTGAAATCTAATGGAATGCTAATTTCTTTAACCAAGGAATTTACCGACTACTTAGATCAGGGGTGGGCAATTAATTTTTACATGGGACCACATGAGAAACCTGAACTGTGTTGAAGGGGCCGAACCAACAATAACTTCAACTTCAAATCAGGGGGGGTTCACACATACAGAAAAGCCCAAATAAGCAACTACTGGTAAAAACATGCCTAACAAAAGCGCACCCATGCCTCACGAGTTTTACAAGCGACTTCTGAGAGAAACAAGCTTAAAGTCTTTTATAATAAGTGGACTTGGCAATTCTAAGGCGTCTACGAATATTTTGCCGATGTTTAAACTTGTCTCTGTTCACGAATGCAGATCTAGGATGTACGCACGTGTCCAAACAGAAATAAAACAACTGCTATGTTTTTCTAAATAAAAGCAACACAATTTCATAGCATGTTGATGATTTGATTGACGGATCTCACGAAGGGCCGGGCAGGGACATCCAAAGGGCCGGATGTGGCCCAGGTCTGACTTAGATTGAGACAATATTTTTTTACATTCAGAATCACTAACTGACCAAATACAACTTTGTCCATTGTTGGAGCCAAACATGAAATCTAATTAAAATAATGAATTTAATTTATGATAAACTAGTTAAAGGAAAGAATATTAATTTAAAGCTTGTATCAATTTTCTTGCCTGCCTAATTGCTAATAATTTTAGTCCTCATTTCAATTGAAGTAATTAGTAAAAGGTAAAAGGACTAAATTGACCGTAATTTTCTCCTGCTGCCCATCCCTATGTACGGAAAAGGTTGTCGACTGCAAAGAGCAGGGACGCCAATATATAGTTACCTTTCTAGTTACCTTTCATTCACTTTAATCTGTAAAGTGGCACATGTAAATCTTTTATTTTTCTTGGAAATGAACGTTGGAAGTGATGCTGGATCTGCCGCCACTTTTTGTTTGGACTGCGTGTATTAGACCCACTCGGCAGTGGTTTTCTTTGGAGACTTAAAGCCACTACACCCATAGACAGTTAAACTCCAGTTTAACATTACTATCAGTGTGCAGATAAGTTAATACACTGTGGTCAATACAAGGGCAAGTGAGACAATGTTTGTCATTTGCATAAACATTCAACACTGTTTCAGCCATCACACAGTACTCTCCTTTTCAAACAGTACAAGAAAGGAGACGTTAGACAATAATGTATTGGAGAGCACAAAGGACTTTTGTTCGATAAGAATAAGGTTGTAACATACACTAACAGTAGATTTGTAGTATACATTTGCAGCAGTTACAGATAAACTAGATATGCAGTATAGAAATGAATGATACATGGAAAAGAGGGTGAATAGACAATGACAATAGATACTTCACATTTCCCCGCTTGCATTTTTGTTGTACTTAACATGCTCACCTGATTTGGTTATCAGAGATTAACTGCTGTTTATCATTGTTTGCATTTGGTGGGCTAACCCAAAACAAGCCAACTTACATTTTAAAGCCAAACACCAATTGGGGTTTGCTGAAAAAGTTTGAAAACATTTTGGGACATTATTTACACTTAAAAAACTTTTCTCATGCCAAGTTGTAAAGGCCAGAAGCTGTCAGTCACCCAGGCCATTAAGGGAGATTTGTCTTTCCATGTAGCACATCACCTGTTTGATTTTCCTTTAATATTCAAACAAGAGCCAGTTTCATGCATTTGAGTATCTCATTTGTTCAGCATATCTGTGGAATTCATCTGCCTGGAGGTAGGAGTTAGCTAAAAGACAAATTCAGTCCCCAGATCTTCCTGTCAATGATGGTACTTTTCCAATGAACATTAAAAAAAAATCCCAGCTGGGTTTTCGATAAAGGAAAAATGACTAATTTGATCAGAGGTCACATGGGTTTCAACTGTCTGTGTATATAAAACAATTACATCTTTGTAAAACAAGAGCCAAAAATCCACATTTACTCTCAAAGGTACTTGATTCAATGCTTGAAATGTTCCTCACACCTACAGTAGTCTGGTAGAAAACTGTGATGATGTGTTATAATTTTGTAGTGATAGAAATGAAATTCACAGCCTCCTTTAGACCAAATACAACAGCTAGAGCAGACAGTGTATTTTGTTTTTAAACCGATGTAATCAGAGCTGCTGTTATTTTGTTAATGACTCAGTGATGAAGTTGGTTTTCTACTTTTAAAAAACTCGGTGGTTCAGTTCTGGCTTATTCTTGGGCAAGAATCTGACCCCAAACTGCTTCTGGTGGTACATGCATGTGAATGGGATTAGCTAACATTGACAGTCACTCAGCATAGCACCTTCTACCATTAACAAATGTGTGTGTGTGAATGATATTCAATGTAAAATGACTCAAGCTGTCTCACTCTCAAGACTTGAGAAGCAGGATGTAAGTACATTTACCTTTAATTAATCCATGCACCGTAATGACTTAATATCATACAACCCCGTAGATTGTATATCAAATTAAAACCTAGTGTCTGGGTCTGAAACGTTGACCCTTGAGTGCCTTAAACCTGAATTCCCAAATGAGCAACAGGGGATTTCTACACTGGTTCCAAAAACAAACACAACAACAACAACAAAATCCAGATTTTGTTAAACGTTTCTGCAAATATGCTGGTATCTCATCTGATAAATCACCTCGGTAATTTTCCCCCTGAACAAGACTTTCCTGCTTACGGGCTTTGTTGTGAAATGTATGGGGGACCTTGAATCACCCGCTGGACAAGACATCTATTAAATCATGTCATTGGGCTCAGCTTAAAAAAACTTGTCCTGGTAGTGAGTTGTTTTGTGTGCTGCAGACTTGTCATCATGATGTATGACGACACTTTTAACATACTTCCTTCAGGTCAGGGCGCTCACTTGTCACTTATCTCTTTCATGCTGTTCGACCTCCGCTTTTGTCTTTCTGCTTCAAACGTTGCTCTGAAGAGACGCATCCAGGTGCGCTATGTAGGACTGTGATTGGTGCTCTGTGGCTCATGAACCATAATTGTTCCTGACATTTAGAAAGAGATGGCTACTTCTACTTCCTTTTTTGATTTCTCACTGAGAGCAGAAGACCTGATTGTCTCAAAGTGATCTTTGACAGGGGAGCCAGATAAAATGACTTTGCTCTTTTTTCAAACCTATTTATTGAAGCGACTTCTCTAGCTGTAGAAGCTGATCTTATCGGAAAGTTTGTCAGACTTAAATTTACAACTTATTTAGCCTGATAAAGTTTCTACAACAAGGCGAGGTTGAAGAGGAGGAGACTGTAAAAGATAAACCAGATTTACAGCGGGATTTAGTCATCAATTCATCATTCTTCAACTCACGCAGTGAAGGTTTTTGTTTTCACAGGAGCTTAATTTCATCATGCTGTAACTGATGTCAGGCTAGTCTTCAGTCTGCTTGAGCAGTTGTGTTTGCCTGTTGCATTCCTTGTCCTTACAGGTGTGGATTGTTTGTGTTGGTCTTTGTTAGTTGTGCGAATGTTTTGGCGTGGCTCAGTGTCAGGGCTGTGTCAGGTGGAGCTTAACTTGGATTTGTCTGTCTCGCACTGTAAAGTGAATGCAGTCTTGTATCTCTGTTATACACTTATACTCAGGCTTGTTGTACAGTGTAAATTACTTTGAATCCATTTCGTTTGCCTACTTTCAGAAGGGTTATGTACATTAATTCAGACCTTTTTATTGTTTTCAAAAACTGTTCTGTGTGTTTGGTGTTTCAAGTAAGCAGAGTGTAGGAAACACGAGAAAGGTCAAAATGATGTAAAATTCAAACTTAAGCACTATCAACCTGCTTTAAAATTTCTGAAAAGAACCAAAAAGAATCCAATTTTCAGCTAAATGATTCAGCTTTATTGCTCAACCAATTGGTATATTTTAGTGGCCTTATATTAGAATCAGTCATCAAGCATACACAAGATAACAGGACAGGATAAAGTTACATCCTGGATCTTTATTCATAAGGAATGCCAGTGTACTTTTTCTCTGTCCAACTCGCTGTTGGACTTTAGTTTCAAGAGATCCTGGCTTTTACTTTACAAAAGATACAACCCAGAGATCTTCCTACTGGTTGATATTAGACAAAAAATACCCTCAAGTTGAAAAACAAAACCAGTCCCTGAGTTAGCTCTGTGTTTTTCAACGCAGCTAGAGAAGACGGGTCAACTTTTGTTTGAATTCATCACAAGAAAAGTAGCTTCAAACTAGGGCTGGGACGATATGCTTTTCTCCTGATTCAATTCTTCTACGATTTTTTGGATGCCGATTCGATTTAAAGTGCCATTCTACAATATTGTCGATTTTCTTTATTTTTAGTCAGCATTTTTAACACCAGTGAAACAGTTGAACGATTATGATTGTCTACTGACTACTCCAGGAGCAAATATTTCCCCAAAAAATACACATTACATGTAAGTCATAGAAAAAAAACAAAATGATTTTTGAACAAAAAAATCGATTTAAAAATCGTCGTGTAAAAAAATGCGATACTTATGTGAATTGATATTTTCTCCCACCCTTACTTTAAACTGTGTATCACAAGGTGAACACAACTTTGTCTGATATGGTTTATTAAAAAACGACTTGATTTTAACGCCTCTGTCAGGAATTTTAAGTTTGCTTCAACTTTGGCGTCCCCTTCAGAGGAAGGATTCTTGACTTATTCTATCCTCCACATGCTAAAGTCGTGTCATCTCACAATCTCACCATGTACCGTGTATTTAGAATATCTAATGCAATCTTTGTAAAAACCAGGGTTGTTTCTTCAGCTGCTTGACTGACTCCTTCCTCTAACACCAGTTTCAGGTGTTAAAAATTTCAATGCCAAACTTGTTGCCAGTGGTCTTGTCTGCTTTCCTACATCATAAAAAGACATCAATATGAATCTCAGTCTATTTAATAAACCTAAAAAAAATCACAGAAGCTTGAAGTGAGATCAGAATTCTTACATTTTTTACAGGAGGAAAAATGACAAAGAGCTCAGTCTATAGAAAATTAGCTTCATTGGTGTCAACCTGGTAATTTGAACCTGTGATGAAAAAGCTGAAGTGTCTTTTTGTGCTCTCAATTCTTTGTTCCTATTGAAGGGCCCTAAACTTCTGAACCTGTTAAAAGTGTGAATGCAGAACAATGATCTCTACTCACTCCTTTTGACACCAAGTTCACCTGAGCTTTTCTCTCTTGCTGTTTTATTACACCAGATTACATTTCTGCAAGAACTAGTTCATCTCTATGTGGGTTACTGAGCTGCTGTGAATTTTCTCTGTGAACAGAAAAGACTTTTGACTGTATTAAGGAAGTGATTTTGAATTGAACTGCTCATGTCCCTCTAAAAGCATCACCGTGGCGACACAGCCCTTCTTCCTGTCTCTTCTAATCACATGTTCTCATTAGTAACAGCAGTGGGCCGTCTGTGCAAACATCACCCAGCCCAACTAGCATTCATTTTCTTTCCTACACGTTTCTTCCTCACCCTTTCTCACCCCTTTTTATTTCCTTGATTAAACAGTGATTAGATTACCTCTGATTCATCACACTGACAACAGGATATGACCGGTTGTTTAGCCAGCATCAGCTTCCTCTCTGTCTGTTTCTCATGATGAGCTCTCTCCTCCTCTTCCTCCTTTTTTCTTTTTATACCCTTCAGCACATAGCAGCAGTCTGACAAGCGCGACTCGGGTTGACTGCAGCTGACCCTACATTTAGAAATGAGGACAAAGGTGTGCAACGAAGCACCCAAAATAAATAGAATGTGACTGATAGCGGTGACCGTCACGCTCAGTGTGTAGACGGTAAGGACGGAGGCGGGAGAGGAAATGAGAGGAGCCCTCTCTGAGGAAAGCCAGAGCCATCTGTTGTAAAAGAGTTGTGTCACTGAAATCAGCGAGGCCTCAGTGATCATCTCCATAAACAGGGCCATCTCACATCAAAGATCTTCATCCGTGATTAGGCTTGGGAAAGTATGTGGAGGTAACGGTGGGATTTTTTTCCATTGAAATACATGAATGATTCAGCTGATAGCAGCTTCGGTCCCTGGTAGAGAGGGCAAGTTAATGAGCTCTGTAATTTCCTCCATTTTCCTCCTGCTCAAATGGCAGCTCTGTTTGCCTCTAACACACTGAATAGGACCCTCATATATTTATATAAAATCATCAGCTCTAAGTACACTGCTGCCACATTTTACAGAATTAAAGCTCCTATTAGAAAAATTATATCTAATGAATGAACAGATATATGTAAGGGGTGCAGATGGCCTAGTGGTCTGAGCACGCCATGTTTAGAGGCTAATATATGGGTAACATAGATTAGATTAGACCAGTGGTTCTCAAGTCCAGTCCTTGAGCCCCCCCGTCCTGCATGTTTTGGATGTTTCCCTGCTCCAACACACCTGATTCAAATGATCAGCTCGTTATTAAACCATTACAGAGCCTAATAACGAGCTGATCATTTGAATCAGGTGTGTTGGAGCAGGGAAACATCCTCTTTTTATCCTCTTTTTGGTCTCTAAATAGCTGCACAAGCATAGCTCAAAAATAACATTAGTTTGTTCAGTTTATTCAAACGTGACATGCTCGCAAACATAATTCAACCACATACCTGCTGACACATCTTAAGGACATTCAGCTTGGAGGAGTGTTCATGGATTTTAGATCAATGCAAGACCTGCTTATTTCTGTGTCTGTTGATTGACCGAGTGTTGGTTCTTTCCTTGTAGCACCTGAAGCGGTTTCCCCTCTCATAACATGTCTCCAATGAGCCTCAGTAACCTGTTACAGTCTGCATGATGAGTGTGCCTGTTTGCCTGATAATGAGACTCATTTGATTTAACACTCCTCTTAGAAAAGTAAAATGTTTAAAGTGTTGTCTTGCAGATTTTAAGTCTATTTATAAGATTTATAGAAAAACAAAAACAAAAGTCATGAGCGTTTTGAACTTCCTTAAATCACGGCAGCTTTGGATTTAATAAAAAAATATTCTCATTCTCATAAGAAACCTATCCTCATCCCTGATTAACACATTTTCCTCTTTTCTCTGTTTTTTTTTTTAGCTCCAGCAAAACGATGAATCTCTGCTCCAAATGTTTTGCAGGTGAGTTCCTGTTCCTCTGTGTGTGTGTGTGTTTGTTTGGTTGACTGATCTTCTGTCCAGCATGGCGCTCGGAGGGTTTTGGATGGTGACTTTTTCCTCCTCTAAAGCAGCATGTTCTAAAAAGGCCTTCAAGTGACACAAAAGTGAACAAACAAGTCTTGTAGAGAATCTCAGGGGTAGATTGCAGTGTTTACAGAGTTTTGAACTAGTTTTAAGGACAAGGCATTTCAGGCTGAAATTTCCCTTTCTCTCAAGAACTTGTTTGACCTTGCCTTTATCCTTCAGGATATTGATTTACATCTTTATTGATATATCCTTGACAATAAAGCAGTTTGTTACTCTTTTTGCTTTTCAGAAATGGATATTTTTTTTTTCTTCATAAACCTTTTAAAACTGTCCTTTTGCTCAGATCTGATCAAAATTTTTTGCTCGAATCACACGAGTTAGAATTCATCCTGATACAGTCAGCTGTTTGGCATATGAATAGAAAACACCATCAGTTAACATCAGGATTCAACAGAACTGTGTCTGTGCATCTAAAGGGAATTGAGTCTCCTTTTTGTCACAGTAGTTTGGTCGTTTGTGCAACCTTAAGGTCTTTTCACATCGGGACCGTTTTTGTCATGCAATTATTTCGGAGGTCAATATTTTTTTTCTAACCTGTATCCTGTCAATTCAAGCGTTCACATCAGCGACGTTTTCCCGTCCTGCGATATTGTGACATTTATTTTTTTCGGATCACGGTCGATTTTTCTAAAGTTTCTCATACTGTGTGTCCACTTCTGACCAATCAGATTGTGTGTTGTTGCGACGTCTGATTCCCCGGTATATCCAACATGGCCGACCGGCTGATTGTTTATGTGTCGGAGAACAGAGGGCTTTTTGATAAAAGACACAAACATCACAAAGATAACAACCTGAAGGACAACATAGCGTCGGATTTCTCATATGACGATGGTTTGTGTGCTTTAACAGTTTGCTAAGCGCCTTTGTTTTAACTTTCATCTGTGCTAACGTAAGCTAACGGTTGTTACCATAGTTTCATATTCTTATTTTACCGCCTCTGATTGGCTATAAGTGCTGACCATTTGGCATGAGCGTGTGATGACTGTTCCAGCTTTTCTAGCCAATCAGAGGTGAAGGAGGCGGGACTTTCCCCAGGAAAAGTCTTCCCCAGTATGCGCCCCCCCCCCGGAAAGTCGCAAAATCGCATTGGGCCTGATGTGTATAGGTGCGCCAAAATTCGCCTCCAAATATTTCGTGATTTCATGTTCTATATCCGCATCGGCCCCGGTGTGTAAGGACCTTTATCCTCAAAAGTTTGCTTTCAAACATGCTCACAAAGATGCACAGAACCCACATCTTTCCTTTGTTTTTGTTTTTTTTTTTGTTTTTTTTTAAACAGACATTCAGAAAAAGCAACCAGATGATGATTGTGCTCCAAAAGCCTCTTCCAGCTCTAGCAGCAGCCAAACAGACATCTTTTGTAACGAAACAAGCAGCAGCATCAGCCAGTCCCTAATACCGATGCCCAACACATCAGAGGAGCCTTCGCCAGGAGAGGCAGGAGCAACGTCTCTACCTGCTCAGGAGGGTAAGACAGCAGTGGATAAGTAAGAAACACACTTTATTAATTAACATATCAGAACAAACTATGTGAGGGGTAGGACTCCTCAGTTGTTTCTGCAAAGTTAGAAGAGAACTCTGAGACACAAGATATATGCGATCAAAACTTCTCCACCGTGAAGTTTTCTTGCCCAGGACATGTTTCTGAAGAATGCAGTCACTAGATTGTGCCAAAGGAAGCAGCTGCAGTGCTCCTATCCTGGCTATATTTGTCCTCATGGCACAGATAGAAAGAATAATAGCAAAGGGTATCCATTCAGAAGTGAAGGTTTTAAGAGGACATCCACAACTGCCAGGGCATCGGTCATCGCGGCACAGTGACAAGGTTATTTGTGGAGGCTGATTCAGGACAGAGCAATAAAGCAGCAACCTAACGCATGTGTGGACGTGTACACACACAGAGCTGCTCCTCTGCCTCCAGAGAATACTGATTTCTAGTTGGCTGAAAGCTTTTCTCATATTTGGCAATGTTTTTTTTTGATACCTTAGAGACTGAACAATTAACAATGTAGTCGAGAAAAGTCGTCTTTTGTTCTGATGCTTAGTGGAAAAGAGCTAAACAGTATCAGAGCAGCCTGCAGATGACTCCCGAAAACTTTTAGTCTCATGCTGTTAGTATTTCATACAATGTTCTTTTGTGGGTAACCTAAATATCAATTAATCTGTCAGTCAGTTAATCACCATTTTACAAGTTTGTGCATTTGTGTTATAGATGCTGTAAACCTTGAAGAACTTTTTCTATAGTTTTCTATAATCAGTAACACTAACCAGGGCTCGACAGTGAGACTGTTTTACTTGCATTTGCGACTACAAATAGATGTGTGCGAATCGTAAAATGTATTTAGGGGCACATGTGCGCATAAAAAAAATCAGCCAAGGCAACAAATGTGTTTTCATGTAAATAACGCGGTGAAGTTAGTTTTAGGTTGGATATTCGGCGGACATTCACTGCGGCTCTACCAGTGTCCTCTCACTCTCAATTATCAGGAATGGCAGCAGCAGCACAGTTAAATCTACTCAGCACCCTCACTGTCAACGTCAGTTGTTGACCATCAATAAATTACCAGTTGATGTTCTTAAAAGAGGCTGTTTTCCTTCAATAGCTTCCATGTCATGTGACCAATTGACCTAAAATTGATTTCAAATAATAGTACTTATGTCAGACAGTAAGACACACTTCTTTGTTTCCCTAATTTGTCCACTAAAAAATGTTGTGTTAAATTTAAAGGCAAATTTTGAACATTTTCTTGAATAGCTTCCATGTCATGTGACCAAAAGACCTAAAATTGATTTCAAATAATAGTACCTATGTCAACCAATAAGACACACATTATTTGATCAATTTTCATTGTGCCCCTAAAGTTCTTTGTGTGCTCCTTACTTTTTCAACTTAAGAGCACTTGACATAGTGTCAAGCCCTCCTAACTATGAACTCTAACCTTAAAAGCATATCTATATAACCTTACAAATGCATTTTTAAAGTTTGTGCAGAAGTATTTCGTGCTCTGTTTTACGTGAATAAACACCTGGAACATTCAATTCTGTTTGAAAAAAATCGAACAAGTCTTGCAAATTAAATATTAACAACCTCATGTGCTCTTCTTTCTTCCATCTCACCCCCCCACCCCCTCCTTTGTCTCTTATTGTCTCTCTCTCTTTCAGAAGTATCCAGCACAGACACAGCCTTCAGTTCACTGTCCACTCCCACAAAACGCTCCTTTGAATCAGGTGTGTGCCCTAACTTTACCATTGCATTGTCTGTTATTGTATTTTGTGCTCTGCTCTTGTCATGTCCACTTAAGGCACTGGAGTGTGGGACCCAGTAGCATTAACAACATCTGATTGATCCAAAGTGGCTAGGTTAATTGTACATCCAGTGTGAAACAGCAGAGGGAAGATACCGGGGACACAATCTAGTGTTTCTGTCACAGGCAGCAAATAGAAAGTGGTAACCAGTGAAAACACACAATACAGACTGTAAAGAACCCAAAAGGAGCATTATGAAGCTTTGTAGCATTGTGTATTCACAACAAGATTAACATTTGTGTATACAGATCTAATCAAGTGTTATCAGTGTCTTAAAATGATTTTAAGTAGGCAGGTATTAAGTTTTTAAGTATGTGTTTACCCTTTGGAGCTTCAAGTCTTGGGTGGAAAAATGCTGCGCGGCACTCATGTTAACTTGTACCTGCTACCAGGGAAGAGAAGGCTCAGAGATGGTGTGTGAGCATGCTGATCTCATGTCTATTCCAGCTGGGTCATGTTTCATTTATCTGCCTCCATAAATTAAACCCTGTACAAAGCAGTTCACAGCTACAATACAATCTAGCTTTACAAGTCGAAATATATCACTGCCTTAAGTTGCAGTGCTGTTGTCTTTCACTCAGTTGTTTTTCCTTGCTGTTGACTCTTGATTGAATCAGTCCTCGAGATTTATCAGGATAACAAAAGGCAGGCAAGGATGCAACACTTTTTTCCACCATGCACCTCCACATGTAGAGAGACACACACTCTCACATGTATATAGGGATCGATGCAGCAGGCTGGGGGGATCTGGCTGCTCAGCCTGGCCTAGTTCTCAGAGATTTATTGAGTGCTGATCAGCATTCGGCCAGGCCGGGGAAAAAGTCTGCAGGATTGATGCGAAAGACTGAGTTAAAATTCCAGGCGACTACTGAAACTGGCCGTGTGCTCCTCCTGTGGCAGGTGCTGGGTTGGATGTATTCTAATAAAGGAGAGTACTAATCAGAAAGCATGTACGTTTTTGATCAGGCATTTCTGTTTCAGTTGGCCGGTGTTAGCTGCAGACGTCACTTGATGTCCCAGTTGATAAAATAAAAGCTGTTACTAGAAGCCCTCAGTTGATTCTTGACATTTGGTTCATGCGGCTGTTGTAGGCACTATAGGTGCTTTTTGGATTATTATGTTGAGAAGCTTCAGCTGAAGGTGGCAGATAAACTGTAGAAATCCAGATTGATGAATCCTCTGATGCGAATCAAATTTCTGATCCTTTTATGAACTAAAATTTTTGTGTTTTTCTAACATCATAAAAACCTGAGTTGCACTTTCAAACGTTAGAAATCTCTATCTTATGAAAACTCATTATTTTAGACCGGCCTACTTAGACTAGCATTTGATGTTCCGCTGCAGAGTCTGGACTTCTAACTTTTTTATTTAAAACTTTGTTATGTTGATGTGTTTTTTTAAATTGATTTTACTGTTATACTGATGTGTCTTTTAATTGTCCTGTATGTTGTCCTTGAGTGCCCTGAAAGGTGCCTACAAATAAAATATATTATCATTATTTATTTGCAAACTGTTGATAATTATTTTAAATTTGTGATTATCTTGATCATTAAAATATCTATTATTACATAGTAGCTTTTGAACATATGAGATGAATGTGTGTATTCAAGCCTGATAGCACCAAGGAAAGCTGTCTGGCTGCAGATTTCTCAGTTTCTCGGAGCATGAACATTAAATCCAATCTTCATTTTTTTCTGAAAATAGAAAAGTTAACTTCCTTCAAAACAGCACATGTCATTAGAGTTGCATTTGCAGCACATCATTTGCAACGAGCGGCCTTTTTCACCTTCATTTCTGAGTGCGTGTACTTTTGTTTGTCTCCAGCTTCGGAGTCAGAGAGCGATGTTTCTCCCGAAAAGCGAGCGAGAGTGGGCGAGGTGCCTGAGGGCGAAGAGTCTTCGTCATCGTCTTTGTCTGCGTCGTCATCATCATCCTCATCCCGCAGCGGCTCTAAACAGCGCAGCCGCAAACGCTGCCACCGCTGCCAAACCAAGCTGGAGCTGGTTCAGCAAGAGCTGGGTTCCTGTCGTTGTGGTATGATTATGTAACCTTTATACACATTAACATACTTTAGAGCACGCACATTTAACCCAACAGAGAGATCCATTTATACTCACACGCTAAGCAGTTGAAATTAAAGACCTGAGGGGGTAAGCACAGGGAAGTAAATGACCTTTTTAGTGATTTATTATGCCCTCATGATGCATAAATACATGGCTAACTCGGTTATAGTTGTGAGTTTTAGATGTAGAGCAATGAAATACACTTAACTTCCTGTGCATGTGTTTGCGTGTTGACGAAAACGTCGATGACCAAAGTTCTCTGTTAGCCTTAGGGGACTATTTCAGATAGCCTGAATGTTTCACATTACACATAAAACATAAGCCAATTACCACAAACACTAATTCAGTTTAAACCAATACTTGGCTTGCTAATCAACTTGTTTGCATACAAATTAAAGTACTTAAAAAGTCACAGCTCTTCACTGCTTAAAGACCATCTGCTTAAACCCACACAATAATTTCCAAATTGGAAATTGACTTGCCTTTTTTTTTTCCTACCAGGCGCTGCTTAAAGTGGGGCCATCTATCCTTAATAGTCCAAACGCTCACTATGAAAACATGCTTTCTCAGACTGAAGGGGAAATGGTGGCAATTACAGTGATTTCTGACTATTGCAGTAATTGCAGTTTTCTTTCCTAATGGTTCTGCGGAACGTCTCGCAGTGTAAGCCAAGAAGGTCTGATAATGACTTGAAAGCATGACGATTTTCACATTGTGAGCTGAGGAGAAAAGATCGCTGCAGCGAGTATCAGATCTAATGTTGTCACAGGTCTGTTGCACAAAGAGAAAAACTCATCTGATGAGTTGTAAGAATGACACAGTGAGGGCTCTGGAAAAGCCAATTATATCATGCTGGTTCCCCTAAATGGGAGATCTTATCCTTACTGGTGTTTTTCCTTCACTTTTACTTGGTGAGCAAACTTGTAAATTTACCTCAATCACTAACCTGTTCAAACTTTAACCTGTTGTAGCTACAGCGATGTTTATGCCATATTTATAAGTTGAATAGAGGACGTGAAAATGGTGAGGTAAATGAGATATTAAACAAAGAAATGGCTTATTGGACAAACTTTTCCTACTAATTTTATTTAAATGTTTTCTGCTTAAATTAAATGATTTTGGCAAAACTAAACAAAATCAATTAAACAGTTAGAGGTGCTGCTATGAAGCGCCATGAATGAAGATTTAGAAATGAGAAAGATGTAATGCTTGACTTCCCAAAATATTCAATAAAGTGGAGAGTTCTGCTTTGCATTTCTTTTAGCTGTGGGCATATTGATAAGACATTTAATTTGAGGGAAGAAAGTGCTTTTTATTTACAGCAGGATGAGTAGATAGTTATTTACCAATTCATTACACCCCTAATCACGCAGTGGCTGCAAACCATCAGGCTGTGCTGCAGCAGGAAAGGGAATTTTATTTTTAGTTTGATTTTTACCACAATTACTGGTAATGTTTGAAGGATTTTGTTTTTTGTGTGTGTGATTGCACATTTTTCTGATTTCCTTTTCTCAAATACAGCCACACTAATTCTATCCAGAAGAAAATAGAAGGCAGCTCGAATTTTAACCAAATAACCTTGAAATATATTTTCCAACAAAACCTCCCATGTAAATTTCCTTCCACTGCTTCAATGTTGTGGAAGCTCGGCTAGATATAGTTTCATCTGAACAAATTTGAGAGTAAAGATTCATCCTAAAGCTTCTTTAGAGTCTTTTTGAGGTTAAAATCAAACAAACTTTAAGCAACACTCATGCCCTCACATAAACCAGAAAGTCAAACTGAACTATCAGAGTTGTGATTGATCATTTGTGTTTCCTTCACTACTTCAGCAGTGGCTTCTGCAGTAGCCTCATAATAAGAGGGTTCCTGGTCTGAATCTCTGTATCTCTTGTCTCTATGCATCAGCCTGTAGTAGAGTGGCAGCCTGTCCAGAAGGTATCCTGCCTCTCATGAAATGACAGCTGGAATGTTAGCCACTTTATATGTGGTCTAGATGACAAATGATTGAAAACATGGACCTTTTCTTTCAGGTTAAGAGGCAATTAACAGCACAAGACAAAAGAGAGTGTTTTTAAATGTTTCCAAAAGTAAAAGGGAGCTACTTGTTAAAGGACACGATTTAGACATGCAGAGGACAGGATACACAAAGATATAACACCAGTGTCCTCAGGGGGCAATCATGCACTGTCTGAAACTTCCTCACTGGGGCTTTAACAGAGATGAATAACTTTGATTGAAAGCTGCTACTTCACCTCTATACTTTATGGAGGTGTTTTGTGTGTTTGATTTTAATGTTACAGGGGAATATAGGTGTATTTGATCACCACGGTAACCCCTCCTCTGGGTTTTGACCAGTGTCTCAACAGCCCATCTCTTAAAAAGATTTAAATGTTACACAACTCCCCCTTTTCCACTCCATTCATGAGCACCGTAATCACTGAGGCTTTAATTGCATAGCAACCAGCTGTCAAACTGGGCTTTTAATCACGGCTCATTGAAAAGCCAGAAGTGTTATTATGTGTATTAATGAAGGAATTTAAGACGATGAGAGCTAACGAGCTTCTCTGAGCTTATCGAGCCTCCTACAGTGGCAGGGCTTTTTGTTGAGAGTGCTACAGCGGAGACAGAGAGTCAATGAGAGGGATGAGGGTTGTCTGCTTTGGTTGAATGGAGTCAAAAGAGGGAGCTGTCTGCTCCAACTGAATCTTCTCTGCTAACAAGACACTTTACAAAGGCAAGACTGCAAAGCAATAAATATCTTTACACCGTATGGTCATTAAAAATAATGGTTTATTAGCCTTGATAAGCTTATGAAGTATAATAAGGGAGAATTTTTAGCTTTTTTAGGCTTTGAATGAATTGTAGGTGATGTAGAAATGCTCTTCTATTCTTCATGTAATAATGTGTTTCATTTTAAATTCACTGTCTGTCTGTAATCTTTAGCATCCTCAGCTTTTGTCTTCTCTGATACAGGTTGTTTATAGATTTACTAAACTTGTCTGCCTCTCTTTCTCATTCTTCTCTCACCACTCTCCAGGTTACGTCTTCTGTATGCTCCATCGGCTCCCAGAACAGCACGACTGTCTGTTTGACCACCTGGGCCGTGGTCGCCAGGAGGCCGTCCTGAAGATGGTCAAGCTCGACCGCAAGGTGGGCCGGTCGTGCCAGCGCATCGGAGAGGAGTGCTCCTGAGCTGCTGTTTCCTCAGCAGTCTCTCAGTGATCAGACGGTGTCTTGGCACTTACAGGGATTTGATATTTTTTCCACTTCTTGTTTTGTTTTTCGAGAACTTTGCAGGATTTTTGGATACAAGTTCTACATAAAAAAAAAACAATTTCTGTAACCTGTTACCCACAACCTGATTGTTTTTTCTGCCTCTGTTGGCTTGATCAGATCCCTGCTGCTAAGATGCCTTTTTGGAAAGTCCAAACCAGGAATAAAAGAACAATAAAAAGCAAAAGAAATAAAAGATTTCTTCACTTTTTTGCAAACTCCTGACTACACAAGCGAAAGAAGTGTACGAGTAAAAGGATGTCGAGGAGAAATACAACACTTTGGAAAGATATTTGGAAGCCAGTTTAAGACTTGACTTTTTACCTCAAAAAAAAGAGAGAAAACCCCACAAAGAAGACGAAGATGAGGCAGAGGAGGAAGGGAAGGTTACCCTTTGTGTACACTTCTGTTTCGGCGCTCTTTTTAGACTGCTCTTTACCTCAAAATCAGACAGAGCTGCTTTGTATTCTGCGCCCAGCATGGACTTCGAGAAGCAAACCGAGCTAGTTGGCCTCAGTATAAGTCAGTGTCTTACCCCTCGGTAGTCCAACACCCCCAATCCTAAACTGAAAGAAACACCTGTACATGATCCACCTCAGGTTATCAGGATATCCCAGCCCATTCTTCACCTCTCCTCCCTGATCCTCCAGTTTTTCCCCCACAGGAATCCTTTCACTGTTTTTGTTGTAAGATTTCTCTGAAAGTGTTTCTTCTTTGTTGAAGAGGACATGTGGACGATAAAACTGACTCCATGTTTAAGACTTTTGGTGCGAGTCTGACTCAAAATAAACATGTTAGTTGGATTGAGTTGGGGATCCATGGATTGCACACAGATCTGTCTTCAAAGTCGGGATATGGTTTGTGGCAGATTTTCTGTCTTCCTCTTTTTTGTCTCAGTCTTTATCTCCCTGCTCTCCACAGCTCCTCTACATAAAGACTGGTCTTTGTGTCTTTACGGCATCACGTGGATTATCTGTGCTGGATGAGAGCTGATTTATAGGACTGGGTTTGAACCTCAGTGTGATTATATTCATGATCTGAAATGTGGACGTTTTACACACCTGCAGATCAACGTTCTTGTGCTCGAATGCACTCTCTCATACCTTAATGTTGTTTTACGTGCTCAGATGTTCTCACTGAGCACGGCTAAAATCAAACATTGTTGTAAACTTTGAGTTTGGACTGAAGATGAAATGGATGATGGCTGTAATGGTTTCAGGTTTCTCATTATGTCTTAGTTATGAACATATTGGAAGGTAATGTTGGGCTCCATCTTGGACAAAAGATGTCTTATTGTTTGTTTTTCACTCCTTTTACCAGTCCTTTAATGCTCCTGCTTCCTCCGGTGCCCTCTCTTTTCATTTCCAGCCAGCATGATGAGCTCACGTGTGCTCTCCTCCCTTTTCTCTCTCATCTTTCCCTTTATTGATTGCTCTATTTTTCCATGTTTCGCCCTCTCTGCCCTCTTTTCCTCTCTGCCTTTAGAGGAGGGAGGTGGCTGTAGAGCTGAGCCGAGTGCTGAAAGTGGAAAAAAAAAATAAGCAAATAATTACTTTCTGGTGGTAATGTTTTTCTGGTGGACTGTGGAAGGGAATGAACAGATCATGCATAATGAATGAATATTCTTTATCTTTAAGAAAAACCTTATTTAACCCTTTTTTTTGCGTTTCGCTTACACTTTTAGTGTAGAGTTTTTTTTTTGTTGTAATGTGTTTATTAAATGGGAAGATGAACGTGGAAAATTCTATATTTTTTGTTTCCATTGCTTTACTTTTTGCTCCCCCTTCCAACTATTTTTCTTTTACTGAGAAAGAATAAACTGGATTAGACAAAGTGGGATCATCTCTAGTGTACTCATTGATATGCTTGATGGAAAAATGAAGGATAAGGTATATGTTTATTACAATAACATTCTGCTGGTGGGAAAAACAAAACATATTCTTCATGATTTGAGATGATGTGTTGGTTAAGGTTGGTTGAGAGTCCAACATGTCTGTGGCTCTCTGCCACGTCCTAACATCCTGCCAGTTTTTATAGTGATGTAAATGTCTGTTTACTGCTCACAGAGGGCCGCTATAAAGCTTCTGTCATTTATTCAACAAATCTGTTTGAGCATGTTTGTGTGTGAACATGTGTGCGCGCTAATGGAGAGCTTTAACTAAAGAGGCTTCTGATGGCAGAGATGAGTCTTGTGGGCTGGCTGCGCTAATTAATGTTGTGAAGAAGAAAACATATGTAGCCGTGATCAAAAGAGGTCTTCAAACAGTGAAGCTGGCCAGATGCCAGCCTAAGCGTAATCTCTCAGCCTCCATGTTGCACAAATCGAGCCAAAACTACCAGAGTTAAAAGCTAAACGTGAAGTCGCTGTTGACGAAGTTGTCCTTGGTCAAGGTGGTAAAAACTGAATAACCTGCTGGGTGACGGACTGAATCAAGCTCTCTTGAAATATGCTTTGTGTCCTTGTCCAAGTCTGTTCAGGTACCAAGTTTTTGTGTGTTAGAATTTTGATACTGACAGAAAAATGAAAACTAAAACATCTGTGTTGTCGGTTCAGGGCTCAATCTGTGTACTTATCTGTAAAAATCAATGCCTCATTTAGACGCACCGTTTTGAGTTTGAATTGAGGGAATTAACTCTTATTAAGGCTGACTCATGTTTTTCTATTGAGCAGTACATAACCACCATGTGCTTTTTTCCACAGCTCTCAATGGGACATGAATACATTGGAGTTATTTTTTAAGCCCCACTCCAGCTTTCTAGAGCCCTCTCTTGGTTTTGGTCACCTGCGTCTGTCCTCTGCTGTGATTTCTGTTGTCTTGATTATATCCTGACACTCAGGATGAATCACATTGCCAGGACTGGGTGGCAACAAACAGCATGAGGTCTGTATTTGCTGGAGGCTGCCCGGTGTTAGAGAGGGATTTGGGGGATAAGATGTTATGGTGGCCGAGAGTAAGTAATCTCCTTACAGCTCAACAAACAAGAAAGCCTGCCTTTCTCACCGCTTTGACTGGCTAACATCAGTTATACACACCATCCTTATATTGGATTTGCTTTTGTTAGATGCTCTGTCTCTTTTGTTGCTCTATCCAGCCCTTCTCAGGTCGTCTGTTATTACCTCCCTGTCTGTTTTTTTTTTTATCTGAGAAACACTCCGGGAAGCATCAGCTTGGCTCGTACAAGAGAGGAAAGTGCTGGATCCAAAAGTAGAGCCACACATTAGAGAGAGAGAATGATCTCAGATGTACAGTAAATTCAATGTCAGGTAACAATACCCATTGTAATCACAGGCTCAGTTTCACAGCCTAGTTCCTCAGCCTGGTTTCCAGGCAGTGCTAGTGTTACTCATTGTCATGGTGCTGTCACTTATTAGTTTTATTGAGCTTGATGAGCACTCAGCAGTGTGAAAGCACGACTGTAATTACATCTGATGCATTACAACCACTTAAGCCCAGGTGAATTTATCCCTCATTTATTGTAGGAAAATGTGTCATGAACATCAATTTTTTTTGTCTTTGAATATGAATTTTAAGAGACCTAAATAAGTGTCACTCTCCATAATGAGCTAACCAAATGGTAACTGATTTTTACTATTTACAACAAAAGACTCAAATAGTATCACAATACATTTTTATGGTGATTATTTGGCAAAATTAGCTTCTATAGGAAAGGTTTACAAAGAATGTGTTTTGTTTTTTCCAAGGTTTTGTTCCACGACTTCAGTCTGATCCCAGTGGATTTTTCCCTAATTCAACAGACTCTGATACTGATATATTTCTATATTTAAACTATGGAAATATGATAGATCACAGTATCTGATGAACACTGCTCGAAACAACCACGTTATTTAAATCAGATTATTTGTCTAAGTATGTCAAAAACATGAGTTTAGCTGTAAGTATACATAATGTGCACCTGGTTGTATCACTTAGGCACAATTCCTCTCGGTTTATTTTAAACTCATGTACATTATGTTGAATTTGGGAAGAGGATCAAATTGCAAAAGCTGCAGAAAAAATGAGCCATAAAAATTTGGGGGTAACATACTGTGCATAACACTTGCTCTCACAATATCAAAGATAACTTGAAGAAACGTTACAATCATTTGCAGTAAAAAGCTCCTCCGTTTATGATCCTTTGTCCTATTCCTGTAACTCTGGTTAGTACCTGATGAGCTGTCGAGCAGACAGATTCATACTTTGAGTCCAAGAGTGACAGAGTTTAAAGAACCTGTCAAGATATTTATCATTAAAAATTTTTTTGTATCTACTTGATGAGTGACCAGTCACAGTTCATTAAAACGTACACAACAGTAGAACAACTCGACACAACTCGATTTGTATAGCACCTTTCATACAACATGCAGTCCACAGAGCTTCACAAAGAACAGATAGAAAATGAATGAAAGTAAAAAGATTGCATAGATACTAGAATAAATTGAACAAATACATAATAAATAGACCAAAATACAGTGAAACAAAATTATATATTAAATAAATGGTGTAAAGACAATGGTAAGAATGAGCTAAAAGTGTGTCAATACTGTGGTTTAACATTGTGTCTGCTGACCAAAAAACACAAGCACAGGTTTAAATGGCAGAACAAAGCAGAAATGTCAGTATACAGTTGAGCCAAAGAGGAGGAGCAATAGGCTGCAGTCTCTGTAGTGTTGAGGTGAAGTTACTCTGAGTACCAGGAAACCCCCACAGGATCAGATTCTATAAAACGACAATTTCTCACAGCTGTTTACAGCCTGGTACAAAAAGTCATATTTTCCATATTTAATTTCTTTATTTGTTCCATTTTCTGTATTATGGGTGGTAATGGTCAGGTCCCTGGTTGGTGTCTTTGCTCGGCTTGGCTTAGCTAGCTTGGAGATGCTAACTCTATTACATCCTTTTAAGACTACATCCTTTTAAGTGGTTAAAACACCCCTTCAGATATCATTCGGTAATGTAAAGGAAACTATGTCCAAATTTAATTCAAAACCCTCCCTACAGAGAGCCCATGTGTTAATATAAGTTTCTGTTTTGTGTTGCTAGCTTAAGGACATAAAAGCTAACGTGTTTTCATATGTGTAGACAGTCAATATCAACTAAACAAATAAATCAGCCTGGCTGTTGATTTCTTTGGACAGTCAAGTGTGTGAGGAAAATAAAATGAGCAAACGTAATTTAGATAATCAATTCAAAAGCATTAAACATCAAACCATACAAATGTTATCAATGTTATTAGTATGCACTATTGGTGAAGTTGTGCTCATTAACATTCTTTAAGTGTAACTCTGTAGCCAGGGACACGTTCTGTGTAATCCCCTCTTATAACACGACTCCAGCACCATTCATTACCATCTCCACCATCATCAACCACCACAAACTGACACTGTGTTTTAGGAGCCTCAAACCAGCGAGCTGCTGACATTTGGTCTGGTTTAAGAGGAAATTAGCGGCGGTGCTGGAAGACCCAATCTCAGTGCAGCTATTACTGTCATTCCCACATTTTTCCATGTGACCTTTAAGGGAGAAGCTGACAGCACACTTCTCTCCAGTCACTGGATGATTTCAGTAGAGTGAGATAAACTGGTGGCCAAGGATAAGACTTAAATTACTGGTGATTTGAGAGATCTGTATTACAGTGAGAGAGCCTCTAATGGATGTCAAGAGAAAGTTTTAAGGTTTCAAATTTCCAAAAGGAGGAGCTCTGTTTCACAAAACCATCCTTGTGTCAAATGTACACTAGTTTCTGCTTTGATACAGTGTCAGCTTAAACCAACTGATATCCGACATTTTCTCAATAGACTCATCAGCACACAGATTGTTATCATCCACCAGGCCAGTTTTTAGATGGAATTAAATCCTCTGCCTCACATTTACTGTCAAGGCCTGAGGAAACTAATGATAAACAGTCCCTACAGTCCACAGATACTGCGATACGATCAGATCAATTCAATTAAACCTTCATTCACTGCTTTGCTTTAAACTCTTTAAGCGCTATTTACGTGTTTAAAAGCTTTCCGCCCATCTCTGTTCGAAATTCAAAGATTTTTTAGTCTTGCTTGAAGTTACATTGATTTGACATTGTACTATTTTAGGGTAGAACCACAGAATAAAGTAATTATCAGCAACACAACTCTTTATTTTATGGGAGACAAGAAAAGCCATGGATTTTTCTTTTTTATGCACTGTTATCTCATGATAACTTATTATCTCATTATCTTGAAAGTTTATTTTCTTGTGATAAAAACTAGTTATGTGGACATAACAAAGATTGTTTTCTTGTGATAATGGAAATGGCGTTTTAGCCAACCTAAAATGGTAACTTTTAAACATGCCCTCCAGATTGGGATATTCCCCGAAACGCCGCAGCCACTGTCAACAGCAAGCTGGGGGTTTCAATAAAAACACTGACAGCACATTCCAGTTTGCGCATGTACATTAAACTTTTACGCTAACCAGACAACAGTAACAATGGCATTATTGATCAATTTATTCTCACAAGAAAGCTATCTTTGTTACGTGGAGATAATGAAAATAGGGTAATTTGTTATCATGAGAAAATGATCTTTGTTATGTCAAGATAATGAGATAAGTCATTATCATAAGAGAACGTTCACTTTGCATTCACAGGCTGTATGTAAGGCTTGATTTTGCCCCTCTGCTGTTCTGAAGCTTCTCGTTTGGTTATTACCCTGTTTTTTCTTTTTTTTTTTTTTCTATCTTTTTGTCCGAGCCAAAAGACAGTATTTAGAGGGTAGCTCTAAAGAGCTGTGGAGGGCTGGTAAACATTAAGTTATTGAAGCTTTACAGTCGATGCCTGTGGTTTTTTCATTATCTGGGTAGTGAGGTGGTTAACCAAGTGTGTTTCCCACAGGATGACATTCAGTGGGAATGGTCAATTGTGGTGGTAGTTAACTGGAGTTGTTAAGTCCAAAAAAGCTAAGAGAGCCTGTGGAGTCATCACTTGGTTGCACACATCCCCATGGGGAGAGGAAGTGGCTGGTAAATGAAAAAAGAGAGTTCTTAAAATAACCCGTCCTCTCAGTACTTTTGCCCGCTATCTTCTCTGCAGGGGAAAGTAAACATTAATCCTGACTCATGGTTACACACAGCAGTCAATGCAAGACAAACAAAATAACAAGCTGGATGATAAGCACAAACACTGATACCTGCTAATTAGTATTAGCATGTTAATAAGATCAAAACAGATTTTATAATCAGTCAAAACTTTTAAGCCAAATGTCTTATATGACTTGTTTGATGGTCAATTAAGTTCAATAACTGAAGTGATTGAGCAGCAAACTATGAGTCAAATCATCAATAAGCACAGTAATGCACACATGTCAGACTTGATATATTTTGAATTGGTTATTTGTGTAATTTTAGAGCAAGCCTTAAGTGGCCACTGGAGGAACTGCAGTTTTTTGCCACTTGACACTGGCTTAGATTTTCATCCCTGCAGGTTGCTTGTTACATACTTTTCATATTTGTGTACAAGCCATTCAATTCCTCTATCCAACACAAGGTTACAGCAAATACAGAAACTATTTCTTGATTTCCATCAAAACAGCAATTTCACTTTTATGCGGGGTCATTTGCTTTGAATCACTTTCAGACCTCTGTTATTTGGCTGCCTGGGTGGCCTCTTGGTTTCCCCTTGTTCAGTTCTCTTGAATGGTGCCAAAGTGGGCATCGTCTGGGCATCTCCCTCTCTCCTTCTCTGTCGGTGGTCTTTCTCCCTTGATCTTCCTATCCTATCTCTGTTCACTCTGTTTCTGTCCTTTTTTACTCACTGCTGTAACATAGTTGGTATGTTTGGTCTTTGTCCAAGGCCCCCAAGTTAAAGAAGTTTAATCAGACTTTCACTAAAGGAGCTTTGACAGCTGCAGTATAATAAGCTGAAAAAAAGGCCATCAGATTTTTGCCTCAGTGCACCTGAGGGCCAATACTTTTTATGTTAACATCAGTTCTCTTGACCTGATGAATAGACTACTCTTGAGGTTTTAAGATGTCACCTGTGGCTCCCAGTCTTGTAAAGATCTCAGAGAATAGCCCAGATGACATCCATATCCAGGTTTGATTTTTAACTTTCAGACAGCCACTTTGAGCTACATCCAGTGGGTTTTGTAGAAAATTGAATTAACCTGCAATGTTTCCTGGTATTTTTGTGGCTCAAACCATGATGAAAAGACTGTGTAGTTCAGCTCTTGATCCAAGTTTTTATTCAAACTCCTTTTTCTGCTAGTTTTCTGTAGAAGTCTCATCATTTTTTTTTTTTTTTGGTGCTACACTAACAAGCCTTTCAGAGTGACCAGTGCAGCAGAGATTTCAACATGTTTTTAAATTGGATACTGTTCTAGCATCGAGGCTTTCACTTGTTGACTCAGTCATTTTGTAATCAGTATAACAACAGTCAGGTTTCGATTTTAGGTGACTACAAATTCATTTAACATCGATTGAGTTATGGAAGCCAATTTTTCAGACAAGAAAAATCTAATGAGTCTAGATAAAAGAAAAAATCCCAATGTTAATTGATGATTATATTATGGTTACTATCGACTGGAAAATGACAGTGATCTGATAAAATACAAAGTAATGAGATGGTCACATACAGAGAGAGTTATTAAAGCAAAAAGCAACCAAAAATATATTAAAAAGCCAAACATGTCAACTAGAAATGTCATTAAAAATTTTTACCATGAGAAAACTGAAGGCTGGTTTACTTTTTAGTGAGCACAGTTTGCTGTAGGGTACTACTGACTTTGGAGGGGCTTAACCAGCATGCTGTTTTCTGTTGATCCAACACCCCAGACCACATCTACAACCTTGAGAGAGCCTGACAGACATTCAAAGTGGAAGGGTGGTGGAAAAAAAAAGTGGCTACAGCTGCGTTAAAATAACATTACCCACTGGCTGGCGGAGCTGACTCTGTTTGGCCCTCAGACATCAAAAATAACACCAGAAAATATGATGAAAAAGTTTGAATGTCTGGTACTCAAGGTTTGGTTATCTTTTTTGTACCTATTGCTTGTTTCCCCTCATATTTCTACTGCTATATAGAAATAAAAAATAATAAGGTAATCTACAAATACTATGTTTTGATCTGGAGGAAGGCATTTTTCCATTGAGTTAGTCGTTTCTAATGGGGATAACTTCGTCACAAGTTGACCATAGTATATACAGTCTATGGTCTTAACCCACAGATGAACTACAAGGACCTATTGGAGGCCGGGGAAGAAGGCTAAGAGTCCCTCTGACTCCTTAAACTCCTCAGCTCCTTTCTAATCACCAGAGGACACTTGTAGCATTATACAGAAGAGGAAAAAGGAGCACACACAGTAAAAAGAAAGCATCTCTTCACCAGACAGGGAGGCCAAACCAACATCTCACATATAAATAATGTACACTTCAAAAAAACTCTCATGACCCACAGTCATAACTAATGTATCAAGGGCCTTGGTGAGCAGTAAGCAACATTTTCCACAGCTATGACATTGATTCTCAGAAAATATTTACTTATTGACCAGAGAAGAGACCCGTCTAGAGTTTACTTTACCTCTTACTCAGTGAAAGCTGGGATTGGCTTCAGACAACAACAACAATGACCTCAGATGGGATTTGGGGTATAGATAATGGGTAGATATTAGCCAGTCAAGGTGAGCTAAAGTTGCCCTGACTTGGATGAGTTCTCCACATGGTACACTACATAAGTTTTTGTCAACTATATATTATATGCCGTTTTTCATGCCAAAGCTTCATCCTCTCTCACATTTGTGCTTCCTTTATAGAGCCGAGTCACAATCTGCTCTCAGCACATGAGTGAAGCCTCTGGGGGATCCTACTTTATAGGATCACCAACAACAGCTGCTGAGTGAAGATATAACGTTTCCCTGTCAGTTTTTCTGACTGTTGTCAGATAATAGTCCACAGCCTTTAAAAATAGGAGTGTACCACGTGGAGTCTTGTAAATACCCTTTTCAAGATGGTAACAGCAAACTATATGAACATAAAAATGAGAGATGTCCTCAGCATCTGATCTCACTGCCTCCCAGTATCTGCCCTGGTGGGTGTCATGAGGTCACTGGTTTACTAGTCTTCGAGTTACTCTGGTAGCCACTAAACTACCAATCTTATTTGTTCTATAAACTCTCAGAATTTAGCCGAAATCAAACCAGTGAAAATGCTGAATGTGATTGATTGATGCAATGTGATATACTTCTATTTATAGCAGCTCTAGAGGTAAAAGAGTCCAGTGGAGAGCTACCGGAGTCTCAGTGAAACGAGCACAGGTATATGTACATGTGTGTAGATGGTGTGTGTATGAGTGTTAGGTGAATGTAAGGGTGTAAATACCTGCAGCTCAGTTACTGTATGTCCTGATGTAACCCGCTTTTTCGAATGGGGCAAAACCAAAAATACATTTCTTGACTTCTGTATGACTGGAGGAGTTTTGCGTGCCTTCAATCATTCTGTTGTGTGCCAAAAAAATCCCTTTGTATCTCACCAAGTCTGTACAATCCTTTCACAGACTGCTTCTTGTGATCCAACCCCTTAAATGTCAAGAATTTCAAGATCCAAAACTCTTCCCCCAGGCCAAAACATCCTCCTGTTTTTCTCTTTTCTCTAATGTTGGCGCCTACTTGTGAGAATCCTGTTTAAAATGATATAATAAAACCAAAAAGACTGTTCCAATTATTGCTCCTCTGGCATTTGGTTTGTTCATGTCTAGTCACAAGTGTCAAAAGTGTGTGTGTCTCTGTGTGTGAGTGATCTACAAGAAGCTGAGGGGAAAAAAAAAAACCCAGCTCTCTCAAGAGTGAAAAGACACTCTTGACTTGATGTCTTTATTTTACATGCAAGACACGCAAGACACACACACACACACACACACACACACTCAAACATGTACACGTGTAGGGTTAGCTGAGGAAACACATACATGGTTTATCAATCAGAGGATGGCCCTGTGCTGCACGTCATACCTGCTCTCTTCTGAGTCAGACACCACTCAAAGCAAAGGTCCATCTCCTGAAATAGGATCTTAGATAATCCAGGATAAACCCCACAGGAAGTGTGTTCATGTTCATATTTGTTCCCATTTTCTTTAATTTGTAGTGCATGTTGGCCGAGTGTGTCTGTGTGGTAAATTGCAGCCTTGTTGGTACTTTTCTGTTATTTTCATTTGGGTTTATCATTCTATGATGCATGTAGGAGTGGGACAAAATATCAATATGGCAGTTTATCGATGGCCTAAACTTGCTATGTGTAGAGACATTGGAGCAAAGTTCTATGGAAAGCATCAGTCAGATAACTGATGTTAAAAAATAATGATTTTTAGAACTTAGTTTTGCATCGCATAACTTGGTTCTCTAACAGGGGAGAGGATTTACACATACATTTTGATTTTGGAGCTTTTGAGGTTACAAGTTTGGGGAATCAGAGGCTGCTGACAGATGAATTCATGGTTGCTTTTTTCGAGGAGGTTGAAGATCCGCCTCAATTCCACCTCTCTGACTCTTGATTGATTCAGCATTTCCAATGTGGCAACCACTGCCGATAGTCTTCAAAACACTGCTTCAGAAACAAATGGGTGACGTTACAAAGATTATAGTCAATGGTTCAAACCAGCTCTAGAAACACCTTTTGATTCTCATAATAATGCCCGGCAGGTCAATTATCGTTTCTGTGTGGCTAAGATCATGTTTTCTGTCCTGCATATCTAAACAATTGTTGTTTACTTATCTACATTTTGCTCTGTGATCAGCCCAGTTTTCAAATATTCCTCTGTGTTTTTAAAAGATCTGTCTTATTTGGAAAAGATGAGTAAGGTTTTTTACTAATGACACTCTGCTCCTGGATGATGTTTAGAGTCTTTTTTTCCAGCATCTTTTGACATTTTGTGATAACTGTTTTATGGCTCATGACACAGTTAAGGTGCTGCAGCCAGGATGTATTTTTGCTATCAGTTTCCCACACAGGTGTATTGAAATAACAACCCAGTAATCACCTTAAAAATGAGTCAGCCCAGCTGAGCAGGACACATTTCTGATCATCCATCATTGTCATAGAATAATAAAGTGCTTTGGCTAAAGCCCTGTTGTTTTGGTGTAATCTCTCTGCTAGGAAGTCTTTCTGCTTTTTTTAATTTATGAACTTGATCCAAACAAAGACGGTGACAAAGAGAAAAGATGCTGGGAAATCCTTAGGACTAATTTTGTCTGTATTTGCTGTGGTGAAGATGCCTTGTTTGTTAGCTGGCCAAACCAAAATGTAACTTAACAAACCCATGTCCTCTCCATTTTTACAGCTCCAGCTTTATAAAACCCTTGACTTAAAGTTGAGCAGCAGCACTCGGCTGCTTTGTCTCCTCTCTGCTGCCAGTGCCTTCCTGTGAGCGAGGCTCATGTTATTGACTAAGGTAAAAGTGTCGAGTGAATAATTTGGTTTTCTCAAAAACTTTGCTTCAAAGGATGTTTCCCCCCTCTTTTTCAGATCTGCCTTTGACTTTTTCATGCTGTTTTTGATTGTGTCACTGACTGCACTCCAATAATTTGCCAAGTCTCAGCACCAAAGCAGAAAGAGACAGGGCTAGAGCTTTGGTAAAGTTGGATTAAAATGAGCCAAAGTATTTGGCTCAAAGAAAGAGGTTGAAAAAATAGATGGCTAACCAATACTGATAAGGCATTCACTTGTTTAACTCATTCAAAAGAGCATTGTTATCACCATTAATGACAAACATTTCACATAAACCTACAATTCATCAAAGCCTCCAGGCTAGAACAACAAAGCTGAAAAAAAAAACCTCATTTACATCCCTTGTTGGTTAAATTGACAGCCTCACAGACTCTGAGCAAAAATAAACACAAGCTGAGTCAAGGACAAAACTACAATTTGGGGTTTTTGTTCTTGTCAATGATGAATTTGAGTTAAAATCACTGTTTAAGTTGTACTGTGCTGACATAACAAATACTATCACTCTCTTAGAGATATAAAATATGAATCCACTTTAACACATTGTACCTATGCCAACAAAATAATAACCAATGGAAACACGATCAGTAAACTATGGCTGTTTGCAAACTTCGGCATTATCTACCGTCAAGAACAGACCGGCTGACCACTTTAAACTGAAAAAATACCAACTATGAATATTCATCTACCACAGTATTATAGGCTCAAACTACACTCTAAAAACCAGGGTTGAAAAGGGACCGACTACTTATTGGGTTATTTTGACCTGGAATGTTGGGTTATTCAAATTAACCCAAATTTTGGGTTGACTCAATAACCCTTTTTAAGGGTCAAGTTAACCCAATGTTTGAGGTAATTTGAATGATCTTGGGTTAAATTGATATATGCATTTGGGGAGCTTTTTTTTGGGAGCTTTGCTTTTACAACCTGTACCTTATTTTCCCATGTTCTTTAATCAAACTGATTGTAGGCCATTGGGCTAAGGGTCTTGGCCTAGAAATCATGTACAGTCAATCGAACCCTACGTTCTGACCCAATTATTGGGTTACTCTCAGAGAAATAACCCATAATTGTTAACCCATTCAAAAAACCCTCAATTGGGTACAATAGAATCCATATGACCCAAGAAATGTATATAGATCTGAAAAATAAACCAGAAATTTAACTCAACACGTATAACCCAGGAATTGGGTTGGAGAAATAACCCAAGAGTTTTTAGAGTGTACCAATGCTGCACCTGTTAATACTGAGAACCCAATATCCTCTGACCAATCTTAAATGTAAAACACATTTAGTTCCCCCCGAGGATCAAAGACATCTCAGATAGAACCTATTTATAAACACACAACCTTTCAATTTGCTATCTCCTCCTTGTTTTCTCTTTAACATGCACACCCACATTCACACAGAGTCTAATCATTGTCTAAATCGTACATCAATTGTATCTAATTGCCTCCGCGATATTGTTTGTGAACTGTAATACCAATAAGCTCATTAAGCTGAAAGTGGAGAGGAAGAGTGGGAGTGGGGGTGGTGGTTGAGGGTGGGATACGTAAAGACGAGGGAAATCTCTGATCATCCGTCAGGAAGCCCTGACAACACAATCTTTCAGACCCCACCCCTCCCTGCTTCCATTACCTAAGCAGTGATAAAATTTCCCAGTGACACCAAGCACCATCGCATCTGCAAAAGGCGTGGATAGACGCATAAATTTAATGCACCGCTGCTGTATGGTGTCTAATTGCTAATTGTTAGGATATTACATTACAGGCAGCGGGTGCCAACGATTTGCACAGGCCTGTAGTGTGTATGTGTGTGTACAGAGACAGAATTGAGTAGGGAGGAAGTTGGAGAGCAAATTTATTTATCCAAAATGATCCATGATGTTAGACAACCTGATCCCTATTGGGTTAGACAGATGAAGCAGCTTGTGTGTGTATGTGTGTGAGAGAAAACGAATGACACCCACTTTTAAAAAAACAAACCAAAAAAAATTAACTTCAATCTGCTGGCCAAAATGTAAGCACTCTTTGAGCTTGGAACTGAACCTCACAGTGTTTCTGGGATGTTTGTTTTTCAGATGACACTGCACACTTTTAAAGTCTTCTAAACTTTTATCGATCCTGGAAAAGTTACAGAGCAAACATGCTTGTTTTACATCCAACACTGAAAAAAAAAAACACTTGGCTGCGTTCTGTCATAGCCGGGCTGTCTGTTGTTGTTCACTGCACTGCACTGCTGCCTTCTTTAGTCTTTACTCCTGGGACAAATAGCTACAACAAGAGCTAATGCAATTTAAAAACTAATTTCAGGCAAAGAGAGTGTTCAACAAAACGCAGAATAGGTGCTTTCACATACAGTGCCATGAGAAAGTTTGGGCACCCTTGACAAATCCCAGTATTTTCATTCATCAATCATTGGGTGTTTGATTCCACAACTTACTTTTGATATATGAAATAACTCATAGACCCAATAATATTTCAGCATTGAAGTAAAGTTTATTGGGCTAACAGAAAATGTGCAATATGCACCAAAGCAAAAATAGGCCCATGCATACATTTGGGCACCTTAACAGAAACATCACATCAATATTTAGTAGAGCCTCCTTTTGCAGAAATCACAGCCTCTAGACGCTTTCTATAGCCACTAATGAGTGTCTGGATCCTGGATAAAGGCATCTTGGCCCACTCCTCCTTGCAAAACAGCTCTAATTCATTGAGGTTTGAAGGTCCACGAGCATGGACGGCTTGCTTCAACTCATCCCACAGATTTTCAATGATATTCAAATCTGGGGACTGGGATGGCCATTCTAAAACACTGTACTTGTTCCTCTGCATGTATGCCAGAGTGGATTTTGAACAATGTTTAGGGTCATTGTCTTGTTGAAACATCCATCCCCGGCGCAACTTCAGCTTTGTGACGGACTCCTGCACATTATTTTCAAGAATTTGCTGATACTGAGTGGAATCCATGCGACCGTCAATTTTAACAAGGTTCCCAGTACCAGTACTCGCCACACAGCCCCACAACATGATGGAACCTCCACCAAATTTCACTGTGGGTAGCAGATGTTTTTCTTGGAATTCTGTGTTCTTTTTTCGCCATGTGTATCGCCTCTTGTTGTGACCAAATAATTCGATTTTTGTTTCGTCAGTCCAAAGGATCTTATTCCAAAAGGATGCTGGCTTGTCCAAATGTGCTTTTGCATAGTTCAAGCGACTCAATTTGTGGCGACTGTGAAGAAAGGGCTTCTTACGCATCACTCTGCCATACAGCATTTCCTTATGCAAATTGCGCTGTATTGTTGACCTGTGCACAGTGACCCCAGCTGCAGCTAGATCACTCTGCAAGTCTCTGGTGGTGGTCTGTGGGTTGTCTTTAACCATTCTCACCATCCTTCGTCTTTGCCTCGCTGAAATTTTACTTGGCCTACCACTTCTGGCCTTGACAAGGACTGTGCCTGTGGCTTTCCACTTTCTTACAATGTTCCTCACGGTAAACACTGACAGCTGAAATCTTTTGGAAAGTTTTTTGTAGCCTTCCCCTAAACCATACTGCTGGATAATCTTGGTTTTGAGGTCATTTGAAAGTTGTTTTGAGGCCCCCATCTTGCAGCTCTTCAGAGGAGAGTCAAAGAGAAAAAGAACTGGCATTTGGTCACCTTAAATAGCCTTTGTAATGATTGGATGCACCTGCCTATTAAGTTCAAGGCTTAATGAGCTCACCTGACCAACTTGGTGTTTCCAATTACTCTGTGATGATTAGTTACAGGTCTTCAAAGCAAGAAAATGTCAAGGGTTCCCACATTTTTGCACAGCCTATTTTTCACATTTGATTTAATTTCATACAAAAGAATACCACCAATACTTAAAATCAGAGTCTGCAAAACAACCCAACACTTGGCTCTGATGGGCAAATGAAGGACATGACACTAGGATTATTTTCTGTGGAGACAGAGTCAATTATTATACAACCTCAGACAGGGTGCCCAAACTTTCTCATGGCACTGTAAGACAGCTGGTACAGTGATTAGACAGCATTTTGCCTTCGAGGATTTCTGAGTGAGCAGACCCTCTCTCAGTACCCTCACTACCCCCTGAGGGGTGAACTTGTTTTTTTATATAGCTTTAGTTTTTTGCTTGTCCTTTGTCTTCCCCCCTCTCCTTCCTGTTCCCTCTCTTTCTCTGCCTCTACATTGCACTTTCACTGCCTGCCCACAACTGCCTTTTGTAGGTCTTTTCATTCAGCCATTTCATTCTGGCAACTTAAAACCTTGCTTTTGCCTACAGTGTGGAAAGAGTCTGGGTCTCAAACAGTTACCTGTAAAAATACATTTGGCGCACCATAAAACAAAAATATGACAAAAAAGATCCTCAACTGTTTAGTTGTAATTCTATTCCAAGCAAGGATGGGATATCACTCCTTCAAAACGCCACACACTTGGGGCTCTATTTTCGTTCGCGCCGGTGAGGCGGCGGAGGGCGGCGAGCCCCGCGCAGTTGTATTTTCGTCTGGCGGAGCCCAGCGTAAGGCCAATTTGGTATTTTCGTGGCATGAGCCGCACGGAGGCGAGCCGAGATCCGCCAAGCTGGGCGTGGTGGTGTGGCAGGGGGAGGTGTCGACAGAATCAGCAGGCGCAGTGACATTTTCGTGCTCGCCACCGGCGTGTAAAGTGCGCTGAAAGCTCGCCGATTCAAACCTGGTCAGCTTTCAGCGCAAGGCGGAACGCAGCTGGTCCAGTAGTATTTTGGTAGACCGGCGGCGTATCGTCATACGTCACTGATGCCTCACCGGCAGGTTTCCACAGTGTCAGGCACATTTCAGTGCAATAAATAATCATCATCAACTATTAATGTGAGTCAGCACATACATTTGGATCTATATAGATATATTCTGATCTATATCTGATCTGATGAGCGCGTTTGGCACGCGTTTGGACACACAACCTGACCGAATCAACACAGCTGAAACCGCATCAAATTAAATTAAATATCTAGTAAATATTCACACATGATGAAGTTAACTCGATATGTAATTCGTCTCCCTCCTTTTCTTTCTTCCTCTTCCTCTTATTTCTCGCACAGCTCGACCTGGACACGTCTCCGTGTCCTCTGTCCGTCTTGCTTGCTGCTGCGGCTGAACAGATGATTTGTTTCAGTGCTCAGATGCGTTATCTACTTTAAGCCGACATACGGATATTATAATATTCAGTTTTGTGAGCCAAATTTATTTTATATGCCAACATCTATGAAAGAAAGAGCCAGGCCACGGAGCGCGATGCGTCATTTACGCACAGATGGTTCCGATTTTAATGCCATTTTTGGAGTTTATGTTGTGATCTGTGCGCTCAACCGACCTTTGTCACGTGAGGTTTGAATATGAGCAACTTTATGTGAGTGTCTTTATTTGTGGAAAAGGGTGTTTGTCTTACCACTGGGTCCAACATTACGCACACTAAATCCATCTGTGCTCATATGAGAGAGTGTGGAGGACACTTGTTGAGGAGCTGCCCTCTGTCGCCATCTTGTGGCATTACTGTCTTAAGACATCTCTTGATCTCTTTGATTACTTCATGAAAATAGTAATACGCCTCGCCTGTGGCGGATTTAAAGGCAAGGAAAGGAGCCTATGTGATTGGTAAAAACAGGTCTCGGCTGTGTTAAACCCCTATACGCCCTCTCTCCTCCCCTTCTATGATTTATGCTGCCGGGAGGAGCTGAGTTAGGGAGGGGGGATACTTACGCCGGGCTGCGCGGCTCACCAAAATACCAAAATGTGCTTGGGAACGCCTTGTCAGCGCGGCGGATCTGATTGACGCTGCGCTTGCGGCAGATCTCCGGCGAAGCACCAAAATAGAGCCCTTGGTCTCCTGAGTCCCTGAACATCTGTTGTGTGTTATAAGAAAAAGAGGTGATGCAGCGCAACAGTAAACATGTCCCTATGCTAGCACCAGATTTAAGATTCACATGTTTTTCTTGAAACAATAACATTTTCAGTCTCAACATTTTAGATCTTTGAGTCTGGTTTAAATGATTTGCAATCCATCAGATTCTAAATACAGAAATATTTTAGTGTTTTGTGTCTGTTTTTTTTTTGTGTATGTGTTTCAATTCCAGTTTATCTTGTGAAAAGTTTGTTTTCTTCTTTTTTTGTGGCACATTTTTATTGGAAGTAAGGTACCGTAAAATATTAGCGATGAAAGGACTGAGATCGCAACAGTGAGTGTAATACATTTTTTTTATTCAGTCAGATGAAAAACTGGCAGCAAATTTTCAACCAGTGCAGCAACAAAAATTACTGAAAGACCAGCCAACATCCTTTGACACAAAAGAGGTAGACCAAAGTGAGATTAACAAAGCCATTATGCAGTTGAGGCAATCCAAGGCCTCGTATTACTTTGGCTTGAACACCACTTTTATAAAAAAATAAAAAGAATACACGGTTCCCTTCCTTCACTACTAGTAATACATGAGGTCACAACAGTCACCAAACAATTAATTAATCACCTGGAGGGAAATAATTTTTGACATCCCAAACAATTCAGATTCATATCGAGGTACTCAACAGAGTAACTACTGTAAAGTAGTCACTGGATGGAGGCAAAGAAGTGGGAGCTGTACTTCTGGATTAAAGAAAGCCTTTGATGCAGTAAATCATGAAATCCCTCTGAATAAACCGCCAAAATCATGTTGCCATACATATGCCATATATATGGCAACATGATTTTTATTTTTATGAAACTTATTTGCCCTTTGGGACCGGCACCCTTACCGGTTCCCGTTTTTTTTTCCTTCTCAGACAGTGTTTTTCAGTCCATACACTCACATGCATACACACACATGCACTTACATTCTCGCTTCTGTGTTGTCATGTGAGTAAATTTACAGTATGGTGAACAGAGAGCGAGAAGATGATGCTTTTTAATCACTAATGGAGAGCACCTAACAGTCCTCTCTGCTGCTTTTCCACTTTGAAAGAGGAGGGGGGAGGACAGTCCAGCCTTTATCTGTTTTAAATAGACCTTTCATTTAGTACTGAGGACACTGGGGAAGAAAAGTTGCTTTCATATGAAGGGTTGGAGCGAATGAAGAGGCAGAAAAAATAATAATTTGAAAACATGTGTTGTACATAGCCTTTCATGAGGACCACTCAACAGAAATACATGCTTACAAATAAAGGTCAAAGGTTATCTGCAAAGATACCCACAATACTAATGCAAACATGTAAGTGCTTGGCATTCAGTGGCCTTTTACAACTATACATAATGTACATTTGAGGCCGATGAAGTTTTGCAAGTATTAAGTCTTTGAACACAGGACAAACTAAAATGCAAACTCGATGATACAGGCCTGTGATCAAACTCATAACAATGCACACTGGGAGCCATGAGTTTGACTCTATTTAACATGTAGATACTGAAACATTTCATATAATCAATGAAAGTTTACCTGCAGTTGGTGTATACAGACAAAGTCAGGGGAAACGCAGAGTGGTGAGATTCCATTCTCTGGAGACCTTGAATATTGGAAGCAGCTTTTATTTAAAACCAGTGACCCAAAAGTTAAACTAATAGCGTAGAGGTAACAGGATCTTTGAAGCAGACAGGGTTTATCCTCTTAAATTAGAGTTTGTCCTGTAGAAGCAGGATGTGAAAGATGCCATCAAATATCTAATGGAACTGGAAGTGCTTGGACAAAGTCTGTATGGTGAGAAAGGAAACACCAGATGAAGCAGTTAGACCAAGTCAGTGGATCTAGATGAGCAGGAATACTCTCAGATCAGGCCAGCTCAAAAAAAAAGAGGAAACACATTCATCTGCTTCTTCTCTCACTGGTGTTTCCACCAAAAACACATTGTACTATGTTTAGACACAGCTTACCATATCAAATGATTCAAAGACAGATCATCTCCAGCAGTGTCATTAAAAATCCAAATGTGATAAACTGTAAATTTTAACCAGGGATGTCTTTATTTTTACTTTGTGCATCATCAGGCATTACGATTCATTAAAACTTTCTTTTATAGACACAACAGTCATTCAGCTTGCTCATTAGGCATTCATTAGCTAAATAAATATTCCATAACAACTGACCAATGGAAAGAATGTGTTTTAATGATGTGGACAAAGGTGGATCTCGGCTGAGCCTTTTGTAACTCTTGCTGTTGGGTGCTAATGAGACCAGGCAGTGTTTATATTCAAACATATTTTTGATTTATTCAAAATTTAAAGAATTTTCAACGCTAATACCTCTTTTTCTGTTTTATTTTTTGACCAATCCTATTCACACACCAGTGGGCACAGCCAGTGAGGGTCAAGTGTTTTGCCCAAGGACAATTGACAGACAACTGACTAAACCAAAGAGCCACAGCCTTGCCCGAGTTTTCATCACATATGCTTGAATTTTTCTCGGCATTTTTATTCTGGCAAGACCAAGATAGGGTGCATATTTTATACTCCTTCCCCAAGGATTATTGTTTCCTACAGCTGGCAGTGTATTGTAGAGAACTTGAAGATTCAGAGTTAAGATCTATTTTTTATGTGAAAGATTGCAGCCATGGGGCCTCTTCAAAGTTAAATGCTTTGCTATGAAACAGGAAGTTATTGTTGATCATTTATACAACCTCCAATCTCATTCAGATTTCACATACATGATAAAGGACCACCCCTTAACACATCTTTGTGCTTATTTTTCATCTACTGAGTCTACTAAGTCATGGTACTACTATAGTCCAATCTGGTCCAAATCCCCCAGGTTTGATGATGGCCCATGTCTGAACTCATCTACATATTTATTCTCATCATAATGACACTATTGGATTGAAGTGATATCAACCACACAAACACATAACTGTCATAGCCAGACTTGCTGGTTAAAGGCACTACTAGATTATCTATCATAGGCTTAAAATTTTACATCTATGCTGACAGCACCGGCCTAAACTCATCTATGCACGGCATACTTTCAGCACATGATGGCTGTGCCCATAGACTGTGTATAGAATGGACGCCGTCTGCCTCCTCCCTGAGAGAAGTCACCCCGAGAACAGCACCCTCTGGTGACAGGCTGCAGTATAGGTCATTAATCCTGCCCCTGCCAGCCATCTTTATGGGGCTGTGGACAAATTTTAGAAATTTTTTTACACAGGATATTATCCTGCTTGAAATCCGTATACTGGTGGAAGGTGGAACCAAGTTGTCCATAGTACATACAGTCTATGGTTGTGGCCCTCTGTGTTGCAAGGTCATGCCTGCAGCACAGGCACAGTCTGCTACACATCCTTTGGCTGCAGCATGCCCCAGCATACATAAAGGTTCAAGGATGTGGCCATTGTTGTTTGGAGCTTTTGTAAGTTCTTTGTGTCAAACGAAGCAGCGGCTGGCAATTAAATAAATTATCCTTTCAACAAGTATAGTTTGAATGTTGATGTTATATTATTCACTTGACAATTTATTGAAAGTTCAGAAATTTCTGGCCTTGTAGTTATTTTCCAACAGACCTGCTTCTGTCTTTACCTGAGCAATTTAAGCCTCCATGGGTGACTCAGATTTCCCACTGTTCACATTGCAAGCCAAGTAAACGAAGTAGTTGTTTGAAAGTAACACTTTTTTGTGGTGTGTAATTTGTGTTTTAGAGCTTTTAAGTGTCTGTATCACTCACAGGTCAGACAGAGAAAGTGAAAGACTATTAAAGCAGACAACAACTTATTCAAAGCAACAGCAACTCCCTCTGGATTACTCTCTCCTTCTCCACAGTCCTAATTAGAGAAAGAGATGTCACACTGTGATTGCTATTGGAAATTGAGACTCTCGGTCGATTCTCATCACTCTCCCATAGCTGATCAACGCCAGAACAGAGAAGGTCTCATCTGATGCGTGCTTATTTATTGTAGCGCTCAATTAACACATGCTAGCAACAATCTCCTGGGTGGTTTTAGATGAGTTGTGTTCATACTGTTTCTCTTCCCCTCTGTTTTATATTGCTACTTATCCTCTTCTTCTAGGCCTGTTTATTTTTTGTTTCAAAGTGTAGTGTAAAGAACTACATTTTGTGATCACTTCTTTTCATTCACAGTGTAATAGTCTCCAGGGGGACTGAGTTATCTTACAGGAAATAAGAACTTTGTTACATAAAGGGATGGGGGTCTTCTGAAAGGATCCCCTCACATTTGAACATCAAGACTCTTCTTTATGTGTGTGGTGTACTGTGTTCAACACAATGTTGCACACCCCAAACCTGGGGAACAAAACAGGAAATAGAGTGCACAGACTAAAACTGTCTTAGGCTGTAGCTGTTTATTTGTCGTGTAAACACGGGCATTTTAACAAAGCTGTACATGAAGTTTCTTTGTCTTTTGGAGTCAGACTTAAGAAACTGCAGTTTTTTTTGCATTTAGGCATGGCTTCATTTCTTAAGACCAGAGCTTGCTGTGGGATTCTGACTTTTTACTCTTTCATTGCACCACTTTCCAGTTTTAAAGAAAAAAACTTGTTGGGATGAGATTTGCAGTGGTATCAACAGTACTTCAACAGATAAAACAGGTACTAAAGGTACTGTAGAAGCTATAGTACCTGTTGATATAGTAATGTTAGCTTCCCCCTCAGGTTTCACAATTTTGAGGTTGTGTTAGCCACTAATAATTGAAGGTCACTGTGTCAGGTATTAACAAAAACAAAAAGGAAGGACCCAAGTGCAGAGCTTTAAATGATTTAATAAATAAAGGACCAAATGAGAAACAACCAAAACTTACTTTGACAGAAAATGTCTAACTGAAAAAATCAAAATCTAAAGACAGCAGAGGTAGAAATTCAGAGAAACAAAAGGAAATATGGAAAACCACAAGAAGCTCAAACACACACCTTG